GGATGATGGTTGGTGGAAAAAAAGAGTATTCAAAAAATATTCAAAAAAATAATCAAAAGATATGCACGAAAATATTCATGAAAATATTCAAGAAATATTCAAAGGAATGATTCATTACAAAGATTATTATATGTGATAAGTGGGGAAGGAAACCTGTGTTTTGCACATATCTTATCATGTCTCACTGTATAGAATCTGTTTGTCTTTCCTTTCTTTCGATTTATCATTCACTAATCAATACACCCTGAATATTATCAGTCATCTTCCAGCAGGTGGAGCTGTTCTCTTTCTCCTCTTGATCTCCTTCAGAGTCCAAAAGTCAGTAAAACACAGACTAGTAAGATGACATGTAGCTGTCCTGATAGGAAACACTGTAAAAAATGACGAAATGTATTTAAAGCAGATGAAGAAAAAACCATGAAGCTTTGTGGACTTGAATCTTGAATCTTGGACTTGAACTGAATCAGCAGGTGAGAACAAGCAGAGCGTCTCTCAGGTGTGTTTCAGGAACAAAGGCCCAGTTGAGCTCTGTGGTCCCTGCTGGGTCCTAGTGCCCCTCCGTCTGCTACTTCCCTTCCTCATCCAGTAACAGTCCTCACAGACTCCCAGATCAGACTGAGCTCCTCTTCTTCATCACAGTGTCATCATTCAGACTAACAGCAGCTTCCTCTCTGCCTGCTCACACAGGCGCCATCTTGTTTTCTAGTCACACATCACAATCACGGCCCATCAATGATGTCATTCATCCCAATCACAGCTCCACTTACTGAACTTGTAGACGTTTACCTTTATGACAAACTGCAGCGTTCTCACAAAGTACATGACATCTCCCTCCTGGACTACTTTAACCCCCTCCTGCAGGTCTCCTGCTACCGCCATTCGACCTCTGCAGCTCATCCAGAATGCAGCAGCCCGACTGGTCTTTAACCTTCCGAAATTCTCCCACACTCCTCCACTCCTCCGCTCTCTTCACTGGCTACCGGTGGCTGCCCGCATCCAGTTCAAAACATTAGTGCTCACGTACCATGCTGTGAATGGATCGGGTCCAGCTTACAGAGTCCTCCACCCTCCAGAGTCTCAGTTTCAGTCCCACTGGTTCAGAATGATGAGTTGTAATGAGAAGACAAAAACACCATTCAAACGTCTCAAAAGCCAGCGGATGAACTAATAACAGCCAAAAAGAGGAGGAATGACTTTATTTAATAAGAGTAGCAAAAATCAGCGTTTCTTGTAGTACCCGAGAGGGTAAGTGACCTCATCAGCGCTCGTCCTGCCACGGCGTTGATTCGTCCTGTGACGTCTCTTTGGTTCAGGCTGTTAACAAGCCTTTGATGTGTCGCATCAGCTTGCTGGTGGAAACAGACTGTGGAAATTACTTTTGTTTCTTTGGGTCTTAACGAGGATTAAACAGACTAAACTCCACAGGTTCATTTGTGAGCTTCAGGGCCCTTTCACTCTGCCTCATCGAGTCCAGACTTCCTGACCCTTTAGTTTGACACTGGAACCCCAAACATTATAGCTGATGTCTCCGTTTAAGGTATAAGGTGAGGCAACTTTCTACTCTGCTGTTGAAAGTCGGTAAATTGTGACTTTGGGTATTTTCTCTTCTTGGCAGAGGGATGTGTTTGATGCAATAATAGACTCGTGTGGTGAAGAGGAAGCATTTGAGAGCCATTCGCTTCCTTTTTCTCTGCCTCAGTTCTTCTTCTGCAGCAACAAAAGAATCTCTGCAGAAACCCTTTAAGTTCCGTTTCATCCTGAAAAACGAAGAGAAACAAAGAAAATTCTGCGTTTCTTTGGATTCGTCTTACGGGGAAAAGGAAATGAGCCACATGCTTCTACTGAGATAAGATATATACATATATATATATATATATATATATATATATATATATATATATATATATATATATATATATATAAATCCTTTAATTGAAGTTTTTGTATATACAAATTGTAATTAATTCAATGTGTTACAGTTGCCATCTGTAAATTAAGACAATTTTCAAAATAAAACGACAGAGCAACCGCATATAGAATATAGAAGGAATTTGTGATGATTTGACGTTTGACGTTAGGAATACCACAAGTTGTGAATTCACTTGTGTGTGATTTCAAATGGAAATGTAGTTTTTCTGTTTTTCTTGTGTGCTGTACTAATAACGATGATTATTAATAAACGGATGGAAAAGATTAAACTGTAAAACGTTCTGATGAGCAAACAGCAGAAACTTAACTTGTCACCTGTTGAATAAGAATCTATGTGTAGGAAGCAAAGAACCACCAGAAAGATGAACTATACGGTTATAAATGTTTTACATTTTTTTACAATCACTTTGATACTATTTTCAGAACCTTGATGTTATTTTTCAACACATTGCATCGTGCAATCAGATCTTTAAGAAACTTTTCACTTGCGGGTTCATTGGTTCAAACAACGGATTTATCATGAAATACCAATGAAACATTCATTTAGATCACCTACACACAAGATACTATAGTTTCACTATGTGGTTGTTTGTACAATCATTCAACACTGCTGTACAAAATGCCTGGTCCGTCATCCCCTGTGATTGTCTGATTGTTTCCACCTGTGTCCAATCACCTGCACCTTCCCAATGTATTTAAGCCCTGTGTGTCTCTTGTCCCTTGTCGTGTCATTGTTGAATGTCAGATGTAGTGTCTGCATGTTTGTGGATCCTGTGGTGTCTTGTTCCTGGTCCCTGCCTGCGCTTTTGCCCCTTGACATTTTTGGATTTCTGGAAGTCTTTTTTTTTGAGTCCTGTCTCTGCCTACACCCGTTCCTGACAGAATGTAAATACATCCCTGTAAAAGTACTACTGTAGTAGAAAGAAGAGTACACATAGTGGAATCATTGAACAAAATTTGACTGTTATGAAATGCAATAAAATCCCAACGTAGGTTTATTTGAATCAAACCAAAGATTAGCTCTGAGTAATTAGCTCTGTTCCTCACCTGGGACCGAAAAAAAGGTTTTATTACCACACGTTTACATTTTCATTAACCCGGTCTTGTGGATCTGGCCACAGGTTCTGATCCACATCACAATGGATGTTTTCATCAGCCAAACATCCTGGAATCCAGGCCTGACACTGGTCCGGCGTGATGTTGTTGCATGCGTCATCCAGGCCTGGAAACGGGTTACTTGTTGGCGAGGGCACCTATCGTACACCTTCCACCTCCATGAGCGAACAATTCCTCAGTCAGGCTAAGGAAAGGAGAGTATGGGGGCAAACACAGGCTGGTAAATTGTGCATGTGCATGAAAACATACTTGCACCATTTGAGCATGGAGGAACCTAACATTGTCCCCCACAATGACATCACCTCATCAGCTCTACAGACCTGATCTAACTCCTCAAAGAAGGTTACATGGAGAGCTGCTTTATATGAGCCAATGGGAGCCCTGCGCCCAACCACACATCTTGGTGTTGGCAGAATTGTCATTACAAGGCCTGCAGCATGAGGTGAAAAAGTGGTACATGGGACGGTAGAATCAGTGTCTGATAGAGAATGATGATCAAATGTCACATCCACAGATAATGTAGTCCAATCAGTTCAACGCTAATTGGTGTAAACGGATGTCATTATTTTGAAACCTCATTATCTAAACAATATTGTTTGTCAGTATCCATAAAACTATGCACTCAGGGTTATGCAGCAAGTACTTATTATATTGAGATATTGTATCATTTGATAGTTAGATCATTATAATGAAATAAATGGAGAATTATTTCAACTGGGGGGATGAGGGGTCAACGTGGCGCAGGAGTAGGGTCGAGGGTGTGCTGGGAACCACAAGGTTGGCGGTTTGAGCCCCGGCTGCCCCCTATTGAAGTGTCCCTGAGCAAGACACCTGACCCCTGATTGCTCCCTGGCAAAAAAAATATAAGTGCTACGGGTTAAAAAAAAAATCAATGTAAGCCGCTTTGAAAAAAACGTCAGTTAAACGACCTGTAATGTAGGAATTGCATTTTGAAATAGTAGTACTTTGATGTTACGTTGAGTCATATTGAACAGGTGATTTTACAAATGATCTTTGGTTTTTGTCTATTGTATCCAAGTTGTTTTTGAAAAACATGCAATTTGATCATTGGTTGTGAGTTTTGCGTCAAGGTTCTGAAATTAGCGGCAAAGTGATTGTAACAAAAAGTTTTATCATAATCCAGTCGGTAGTTTTTCTTCGACAAGCAGACCAAAAGACATCACATCCTCTACATACATTTCTAACATTTAGAAACTTAACTAGAACAAGAATGTATAATTTACCTCTTTTGACACAGCAGAACCTCCTCATGAGCTTTGGGGAGTCCGAAAATACTTCAGCATTTACTGTAAACGACTGTGGTAATCTAAATGTATTCTTAGAATGTGCATCTTATCTTCATTAATTACTTCCCAGAAAGGGACGTGGTTATTGGTCATGGACCTCGGAGGTAAAAACAGAAGTTAGTTCTACTCCAGTTTGGTTCCTGGTGCCAAGTTTCTGTTCCTGATTCTGGAGTGGGTTTAACCAACGTCTGTCCCAGACCAGACTTGGGTCATCTGAGTTGGACCCCCGAGGTCACGTGCTGCTTCCAGAGGGAACTTAACATTTGTTTTTGCAACCTGAGTTTTACATTGAAGTAAACAGCTGGAGGCAAAATGAAGCATCTCTTGAAATCTACAATATTAGAATGAAAAAAGTCATGAACAAAAAAATAAACAAATATTTTTGTCAATAAACGTGAAGGGAAAAAAAGTCTACACATGTGGTTGAAAAATGAAAAAAGAATACAATGACAAAAAGTTCATGGAAAGAAAGGAAAACGATATTTGGTTGAAAAGTGTGATGGAGAGATGGCTGGTGAAGTAAAAAAAGAACCTAAAAGCTCAATCAGCAAAAAAAAAAAAAAAGTTGTTGCCACAATCTTTATCTTCTGATACGTCCAGAAAGGAGCACTTCCGTATTCTCCTCTTCATAAAGCCGGCCTTCACTCACTCTCACATCACTCTCGCCTCTCTCTCTGACCCTGCTGCCCCCCCCTCGCAGAGATGAAGACCCCCCAGCTGCTCCTCCTGTTGGCCGTGACTCTCTGCTGCTGCGTCGCCCGTCTGCACGGTGAGGACTCTTTAATTAACCTAAATTCATCTTAATCAATCTGCTTCACTGATTTACTCACCTCCAATGATGTTGGTGTTATTTGGGTTTGTGACGCTTTCACAGTCGATAAACTGAAGTTAACAGTATTTTATTTCCGTGATAATTTACACTCATCTATTTGTTTTTCATTTTAAGTTTAAGTCTTTGAGCTTGATGTTTAGGACTTAATTCTAAACACACCAAACTGCACTGAGCAAATTAAATACAAAACTAATTTCTCTTAAATTGAGAGGTTTAATCTCTGAACTTGATCGACCGTGACTATGATTCTTATATGTTAAATATTCACAGCTTTCCCAACGCGGGGCTGTCGCTGCATCCGGACGACCTCTGACCCCGTGCCCACTCGGGTCATCCGGAGGATCGAGGTGGTTCCTGTTTCAGGCCTCTGCCGTCGGACCGAGATCATGTGAGTGCAGTTCAGTCGTTGTGCAGAAGTTCTGACTCGTGTTTGATGTGTGGAGAATACTGGAGTCGCAAGGACAAAATGTAAAAACACTTTTAAACACAATTACAATTAATTACAGTGTAATCAATAGAACATGAATGTCAAAAGTGAAAGAATTCATCTTGCAGGCTTTCAGTGTTGTAATTTTGTAGTTTTTGTGGGGAGGAGCAGTAATTTTACATGTTGCTGCTGTTTTATTTGTCAAATAAGTCCGATTTTTTATATTTTAATTTAGAAGTTTGAACGTAGGTGCAGGACACAAATATTTCACTTTGTACTTGGTGGTCTCATGTCTGGCAGCAGTTATCGTAACTTAGCATAACCTATGGAAAGCAGGGGGAAACAGCTAGTTTTGGTCCTTCCACCACTCCCGAGCTTTATTCATTATTTCTTTCTCATATTTCTTTTACTTTGGAGGGAGTCAGGCTGGTTGTCTCCCACTACTTCCTGTTTCTATGCTACGCTACGCTAAGCTAATGCGTAGTGACACAAGTACTTCTGTAGTAGTAAAATAACTACAGTTATCAAGTAGTGCTTCAAAAAACACATTTACAGTCCTGCACTTCAGTGAATCTACTTGATATATAAACGTCTGTACGGTTAAATAAGAATAAGATGTTCCTCTCCAGAGTGACCCGGAGGAACGGCTCAAAGTTGTGTGTGAACCCGGATGAGGCCTGGTTGCACGTCCTGCTCAGCAAACTGCAGCATAACAGCTTGATTTCCACCTGACGGCACCGGGGCCAGAACATCACAGAGGACGTCTCACCTGGGCAGGACCCCTCACCTGGGCAGGACCCCTCACCTGGGCAGGTCCCCTCACCTGGGCAGGTCCCCTCACCTGGGCAGGTCCCACGTCGCTTTACACGGAATGTGTGGAAGCATTTTGGACAAAAGCGTTTTGAATTGAACCCCCCCTTGAATTAAATAATGAATAATGAAAATAACATTCAGTCAGGGTGAAAGTTTGCCGTGGTCAGTTTTTGTCAGAAACATTTTGATAAAACATGTACACATGTTGACTTCCTGTAAATTTGTCTGAATAATATGAATCTGATGTCTTTAATAAACCTGTGACACAAAGCTTTGAACTGTGTTTTCATAAATAAAACATCACAGACAATCTTCCAAAAATGACGTGTTTTATTGCCTCCAGGAGGAGAGAGCGTGTGTGTGTGTGTGTGTGTGTGTGTGTGGGTCAATGTGTTGAACACAGTTGTATTTTGTGTATTCAACACAACAAGAGGAAACTTTACAAACAAGTGTTAAATAAATAACCACGAGGACCGAAAACAGAAACAAATCCCTCCAAATCCCACAGATTAGATTCATAATCCCAAACTGCCTCGTTCATTTATTCTTCTCCTCGTGAGGGACTTCATAACTCCACTTATCATCTCACATCCGACACCCCCACTTTAAGACACTTTTTGTGTCCTACATTTCCCACAATGCATCCCGATGCAGTCCTTTTCTTCTGTATTCCTGCATGTTTAAAATGCCGCACCTCCAGTTTTATTAATGCAGGTTCTGTTAAACTCAAACGATGACATCACTGTTGCGTAATCATTTAAAAAGACAAGGATGTGAACTCAACTTATGTTGAGTGATGTGTAAAAGTTCCTCTTTCAGAAAACCTAAATAATAAAAATCATCATCATAAAACACAGAGAATGTAGTTTCAAATGATATGAAAACAAACACTTACCGAGATATAATCTCAACGTGCTTTTTATCAATTATAAAACCTTTCACTGATTTTAAATATTTTTTTGAAGTTTATTGTTATTTTGGGGGTTAAAAACTGTATTTCTTTGCCTCCGATCAGCTGTGACGTTCATAGAGGTATAAATAAGCCCCTCAGAGAACATCTCCCTCCTCCATCAGACACATCTCCACCCGACTCGCTTTGTCTCGTCAGCTCGTCCCCTCAGAGCCCAACGTGGTGCCTCCTCTCGTCTGCAGCTGACCTGGAGTCAGAGTTGAGCTCCTTAAAGATGAAGTAGCACCGATGATCCTCAGCAGGTTTCACCTCAATGATTCCGAGGACCTTTATTTCAGAAATAACTCGGATGTGCCGGTGAAAGATGTTCTTTTAATCACCAAACTGAGTGAAGACTTTGGACAGAGTTTGATGATTTTAAAATGGGACTCCTCAGCAAGCCGTGCGTTGACCTGTGATCAGCAAAGAACATTTAAAGAGCCGTAAAAGTATCGTCGTAAAAGTGTCTCCCTTATTTAGATGACGGGATGGAGGGATGAGGGTGTGGGTCTCATGGGCAGTGCTGCTGTCGTACAAACGAGGCACGTTGTTGTAGAAAAGAAGACGTCCACCGGGACAGAACCAGCTCGGCAGGCAGTTTGACTCGCGTACCGCTGCCGTACGGAACCATCAGCAGAACCACCAACAGAACCCTGTGAGCCCTGTGAGTATCGGCCTCAAAGTGCTTACAAAGCAGAGGTCACAGCAGAGGTCACAGCGGAGCCGATGCCATTTGTGGACCTCATTACAGCTTCTCTTGTTCAGATAGTGAGCAGAGCAAAGGATTTCACTCATTTGCCAGGTTGGTTTCAGATATGTGGGACAGTGTTGGTGCAGCCAGCTAATATATATATATATATATATATATATATATATAGATCTATATATAGAGAGATATAGTGACTCCGTTGGATCACACGTCTTTCTTCTGCCTCTCTGAAAATCTATCATTGATGAATCTATGATTATCCAAGTTTTTTGCTTCCTTGCTTCGCTGTTCTCCGTTCTCCCGGGAGCCGTTAAATGTTAAACATTTAGCGTGGGAAGTTCTTTTGTAGAGGGGACTAATCTACTAACTGGAATCATTCCCGGTTCGTCTTTGGGAACGGAGCAAAAAGTGAGGCAGCAGTTTTATCAAAAAATGGCCTCGTCCACCACAACAACAACAACAACAACGACGGCGAGGCGTGTAAACACAGGCCCCCGCTGTGCCTCATGAGCGGCTTCCCCTGAGGCTGTGCTGGTCCGTCGCCCTGGGTTACGCCTTCATCGTCACCCCGCTAAATGAAGATGATAAGAGGAAGCCTTTGTTTACATACATTCGGCTCCGGGTCTCATAAATAATAAATATAATCTCATGTTCGTCGGGGGGGGGGTCTTTGGCTGAGTGGTGGTCCGACACTCCCTTTAAGAGCCCTTTAAAAGCACCTGACAGCACCTTGTTGGTCAACATGTGTCACTTCATCGCTTCTAACTGTTCATCTCAAAGCAAAAGGTTTTGAGTCGTGGGGGATCCTCTTTTGGTTGCCGTGGTGACGGTTTTTAAGACGTTGTCTGACTGTCTTTAAAACCTTCCCCCGCGCAACGTGAAACCCCCCCCCCCCCCCCCCCATCGAGGATACGATGTCCCGTTCTACCTTCTGTGTGTTGGAATGACTACTTTTAAAAACGACGTTGAGAGGTTTTGTTTTGCTTTGTTTCGGTCGGGACGGCGGACTTTAACAAATAAATAAATCCACTCAAATAAAACTTCACGTCTGTGTAAAACGTGAAAAAGAACAAATGAACTTTACGTAGTTTATCTTTAAAATGTTGATTGTATTAGTCGTTATGGTTTGATGTTTAGGGGGGGTACAGACAATTGACATTGGGGGTCACCATAGCAACTCCATCCCAACGCCAGACATTTGGTATCATGGAGGGGGGGGGGAGAACAAATGTAAGATGAACAAACGGGCGAATACTTCAGTCCTTTTCAGTCCTCTTGTGTTGCTGTGTCTCGGGGTCGGGGGGGTCGGGGGGGGGGGGCGTCTGGATTTTTTTCAACATGATCGGTGGTCGGTAGAGGGTTCTGTATAAAGCCGTGAGGGGGGGGGCTGCACTACCTGTGGACCGGCAGGTGCAGCCCGTTGAGGGGGTTGAGCGGCGGGGGGTGCAGCTCCAGCTGGGCCAGCAGGGAGAAGTGGTCCGAGGGCACGTGGGGGTGGGGGCAGCCGGTGACGCTGTTGTCGCTGAGCCACTGGCTGTCCAGAGGGCCCAGCAGGCCGAGGACACTCATGTGGGTCCTCGAGAAGAAGATGTAGTCGATGACGCCCTGAGGACACAAAGAGGTCCAGCAGTGTTGCACAGTTGGAGGAGGAGGAGGAGGAGGAGGAGGAGGTGCTCACCTTGAAGTCGTAGGTGTAGTTGGTGTAGGGCATCTCGCTGCCGTCGTAGGCGCTCCTCAGCTGGAAGCTGTGCGTCACGCTGCCGTCGGAGGGGCCGTTCTTGCCGTTGCAGCTGAAGTTGGTGAGGCAGTCGCTGTAGCGCAGCTCCTTGAAGTCCTTGTGGGTCTCGGCCACGCCTCCGTTGCTCAGGTACTCCACCACGCCTGGACAACACATACGCGTGTAAGTGCGCGTCTATGCGCATAACCAGCGGGAGCTCCCTGCAGGGGAGGGGCCTACCGGAGTCGGGCAGCGAGTTGAGGTCGGCGCACAGGACGATGGGGATGGAGGACGGGTCGCCGGACGCCGCGGAGCCGGACGCCCTCTCGGCGATGCTCTTCAGCTCCGACAGGAACATCATGGTCTGGACCAGCTTGACGTCCGAGTACTCGGGGTCCCAGTGCATGTGGGCGTTGGCCACCAGGATCAGCTGCCTCTCCTGAGGCGGCTTCCTGCCTGAAAAGTGAGACGCCAAACATGAGGGGGGGGGGGGGGGGGGGGGGGGGGGGGGGGGGGCTTCTGAAACCCACCAAATAAACCACAACATGGTCTCGTTTTAGCTACAAAAAAAAACCAGAGCTCTGATGCAACTTTAGAAGACTTTTTGAGCATAAAAATAAAAGTACTAAAAGGGAAGAGAAGGAATAACACAACGAAATAACCACAAACAGGGAAGTTAAACCGTACACGTGCCGTTATTGTCCAACACAGGTTCCTCTCTTCTACATCGTGTACAGTAACACTATATGACGTAAACCTTGAAGATACAGATGAGTCGATTAACTGTTGATTAATCAGAATTATCAGCAGGTGAGGAATTGTCGCCTTTTTCTCTGGTAGATTATACAGCCAGTGCCGAATAGGAAACCTGTCAATCCCAGTAAGCAGAATGAACCTCATTGCTGTATTGAAGAAGACTTGAAACTAGAGCGTAGAGGCCATTTGTCCGTGGGACCAATAAATCGTTACCCGTCAAAGGGCCACTGATGCACCTTCTTTTGTTTCTTTCACGCAGTAAGAAAGCCGCTATTTTCCTTTGTTTTTGCATTTATTCCACAGAAGCCACCAAAACGCATACGATAAAACACGGCTGCCTTCCTATGCAGTGCTGCTGTGACCCGCTGGTCAAAAACGTCACGTCACCCAGGTGCATGCTGGTCCTACACCTGGCTATGCCCTTAAGTAACCTCCAGGTGCCCACAGTATTACCCAGTTAGTGGTCAAATTAACCAAACTATGCATACTTGTGTTGAGGGAAAATGTTTCTTATCGTCCAACATGTATTCATAATATATAATAATATATAATATTATCCGTTTTAGAGCAATGGGGTAAGTAGGGATGTAACTATATTAATAAACCCCTGCAGATGAGTTACAATTCAACAGAGGGAAGGTGACAGGAGGCCGGTAGACAGATATAGCGAGACGCCAACTAGGTGTAGGACAAGATAATGTAGAGACACCAGCTGTGGGACAACGGTCTCATGTGTGCGTGTCAACTACCAGATAGAGAGGCAAGTGAAGGACAAGCAGAAGAACAGTGGGACGACAACAACAGGAGGAGGGTTACGTACGGTAGTTGGGATTGAGGGGGAGATCTTCACTCAATCCAATGGTCAAAGAAATGTATTAACTAGTGTGTTGCATCATCACCTCGTTAGTGTCTTTCCGGAAAAGAGCTCGGTTAATTTTGAGTGTTGTTGCTCTAATATAGTGTGTCCTATGGGTGTGTGTCACTGAAAGTCCCTGCGGGGATGTGTGTGCCCTCGTAATCGAGTCAGTGAGTTAGAGAATACTTAATAGTTGAAACTGTGAATAAATGAATCCACAACACTTGAAAACAAGTCAACAATCACAAAAAAAATGATTAAACTAAATTGAATACAAAAACACGAGAAACCAAACAATAATATTTGTTGAATTTGTAAAATAAATAACTAAATGATAACTCCCACATAGAGACTGAGCTCATAAACTCATGTTCACAATGTTTACTGAGGGAATAAATCAAGAGAGAAGTAGAGTCATTTCCTCATAGACGTCTATGGGAGCAGAAGAGTCGCCCCCTGCTGGTCACTACAGAGAAGTAGAGTCATTTCCTCATAGACGTCTATGGGAGCAGAGGAGTCGCCCCCTGCTGGTCACTACAGAGAAGTAGAGTCATTTCCTCATAGACGTCTATGGGAGCAGAGGAGTCGCCCCCTGCTGGTCACTACAGAGAAGTAGAGTCATTTCCTCATAGACGTCTATGGGAGCAGAGGAGTCGCCCCCTGCTGGTCACTACAGAGAAGTAGAGTCATTTCCTCATAGACGTCTATGGGAGCAGAGGAGTCGCCCCCTGCTGGTCACTACAGAGAAGTAGAGTCATTTCCTCATAGACGTCTATGGGAGCAGAGGAGTCGCCCCCTGCTGGTCACTACAGAGAAGTAGAGTCATTTCCTCATAGACGTCTATGGGAGCAGAGGAGTCGCCCCCTGCTGGTCACTACAGAGAAGTAGAGTCATTTCCTCATAGACGTCTATGGGAGCAGAGGAGTCGCCCCCTGCTGGTCACTACAGAGAAGTAGAGTCATTTCCTCATAGACGTCTATGGGAGCAGAGGAGTCGCCCCCTGCTGGTCACTACAGAGAAGTAGAGTCATTTCCTCATAGACGTCTATGGGAGCAGAGGAGTCGCCCCCTGCTGGTCACTACAGAGAAGTAGAGTCATTTCCTCATAGACGTCTATGGGAGCAGAGGAGTCGCCCCCTGCTGGTCACCACACAGAATGCAGCTTTAAGATGTGAAGCATTAGCTTCTTTTGCAATGCTGATAACGTATTCAGCATGTTACATCTTTGCGGGGGGGGGGTGTTACTAACATTACATGTTCTCTGAAGATGCTTCTTACCCTCTGAGAAAAGGTCCTTGTTGACCTCCAGCAGGACGGCCACCCCGATGTTGTCTTTGGTCATTACTCTGTTCAGCATGACCTCTGACCCCTCAGAGTTGGCCAAGGCCACCTGGTTGAACTCCACAGTATGTTTCTGGACCAGAGTGAACCTGCAGGAACACAAATATCCTCGGGGAGTTATTTTAAACACACACACACACACACACACACACACACACACACACACACACTACTCTGTTTCGATTGTGAAATCTGAAGAACTCTTGGGTGCTTTCATTGTGCAACATGAAGCTGTTCCTATTTAAGTCTCAGCTTTCTTTAGATAATGACTTTCTTCTCCTCCTATCGGCCCTCAGAGGCGGGTTTCTGCTGATGGGGGAACTCACTTGTCGGTCTTGAAGAACACGGCGCAGCCGTCCACGTGTTTCCTCTCCTGCTCAGAAACCAGTTTGGCTCGAGACTTTGGGCAGAAGTAGCCGTCATAACCGCGCTGCTTCAGGGTGTCCAGGAACATGGTGTAGTACTGCTCCGTCTCCACCTCCTGCACGCACACACACACACACACACACACACACACACACACACACACACACACACACACACACACACACACACACACACACTAGTTACTTCAGTAATGAGGTACACACATCTGTACAGGAGCACTAAGGACTGTGGCTATTTCGTTTATGACAGAAAACACGCAGACTACATTTCCCATCAGCCCCGGCTGTGTTCACGGCTTCTTGATCTATAACGTTTGGTTTCTAAATATCACCACAAAACAAATGTGAAAAGTGTTTTTGCTCGTGACCTAAAATGAACAACGAGGATTTGTAAAAATCAATAGTTTATAATGTATTAATTTGCATTCAATAAATTAAATAAATACAGTCCATCTTTTGTCAATAGTGACACCTTATGGAAATAAGACATTACTGCGGATTAAACTCTCCTGTGTTACTTTTATTAAGTCCACTTGTAATTAAAAAGGACCATAGTGAGAGAATTGAATGAATGACAAGAAGCCAACATCGAGTGGAGCGGGATCAGACCGGTCGGCGTGGAGGCGGAGCCTGACTTTACCTGCAGGCTGATGATGTCGGCGTCACAGCTGGTGATCTCCTCCATGATGCCCTTCTTGCGGTACTCCCAGTTGAGGGCCCAGGACGGGCAGTAGGCGTACAGCTGCCGCGTGGCGTACTTGTCGCACAGCACGTTGTAGCACATGACCGTGAACACGGCTGCAGAACGACAAACGACAACAAACACACGAGACCACCCCTGAGCTATAGCCACGCGTCGACGTCAGGCCCAACGCTAAACAACCAGTAAACAATCCGTCTCCATGGCGACCGTACCCGTGGGACTCGTTTGGTCTCGCTCCTTCAGGGTGATCCAGGGCCTTTGGGGGAGCTGCTCCGGGTGCACTGCGGACGACACGGAGAGGCGAGCGCTCACTTCTCTGGGACGAACACCAGGAGGCCCGGCGGGGGGGGCGGGGTTAGGTATTCACGAGGGCGCTCACCTGCCAGATTGTCCAGCATGTAGTTCAGAAGCTTTCTGGTTCCGTCCGGCTCCTGGTACAGATTGAGGATGTCCGGGGACAAAGGGTTTCCTGCAAAGGAGAGTTAACGGATGGATGGAAACAACAAACAAGCCTCTGAGCGAAAGAAAGACTAATGGTAACAATAAAAAAGACTCACCTTTTAGCCCCAGAGTTTGCAACTGGAAAAGCCTGCCGAGTTCATAAGGCAAAACCCGTAGAAGATTGTTGTTTAAAAGCAACTCCCTGCAGGACAGAAGGGACAGAAGCTCCAGTGAGTCTTTGTCTTCGGGGGAACCTTTCCTCACAACGCCTCTTTCTGTCCGGTAAACACTCGAACGAGTCCGAAGAATCATCCGGCAGACACGGCTGAGTGAAGGGGGAGCTTCTGATTGGAGGAATCCATCCTCTGTGCGAGGTGGACGCCAAGTCAGCAGAAGAGAGAAACCCTCTGATACACATCACCGATATCACAATATGACTCCGTGTAGAGCTTCCAGAGCTACAGTCACCGATACAGTTAAAGCTGCAGTACACGGGGGGCGAATATTTGAGTCCAGAATGGCAGGTTGACCTTCACCTCCATTCAGGTCACTAAGCGGCGTTTAGTTAATGTGCTTCCACTATCCGCTCACTTTGACTTCATCACACCTCCGGCGGGTTTTCCGGCGTCAGGTACCTGAGAGACACCACGTTGCCCAGCTCGGCGGGAAGGCTGCGCAGCTTATTGGACGACAGGTTCAGGTAGGCCAGGTGGGGCAGCTTGGCGATGTCGGGCGGGATGCGGCTCAGGTTGTTGTCGTTGATGTGCAGCGCCGTCAGGTGGCTGAGCGTCCACAAGGAGCTGCTCAGGCTCCTCACCCGGCCTGACGGGGAGGAACACAAGGGGCTCAAACAGCCTCCCGTCGCTGCTAGAAAATGTTTTCGTGGGAGACATTGTTTCCGCGCTAAAAGCAAGAAGCCGACTCTGGTTGTTTTGAGGGTGAAGAAGCCGAAGTTTAGTCCGGTTATATCTAAAATATATAACTGGACTAAAGGAGAAATACATTTTTAGATTTCGCCCGGCCTTTAGGAGGCTCCACCTTCGTCTTCGGGGTTCGATAGTTGGACTGACCAGAAATCTCCAGCTCGGCCCAGTAAGACTTCTTCCCGCTGGCCGCCTCCTCCGCCGGCATGATGGTGTAACATCTGCGGGGATCTGGAGGATCATATTTTTCCTTTGGCATACCTGTTAATCTGAAGAACCAAGCAAAGGGTGAATTAAGAACCCAACAAACACTGATACTGAGTCAGCAGCTACTCTCCCTGCGATAACAAGTATGAACGCTCATTTAGAATAAGATAAAGAAAAGTCACACAACGAGGAACCTTTAAATAAAAGAGAAAATGCTTTAAAAAGAAAAGGCAAAATATGCCATCATATTATTTGATTATTACACTCGCTGATGTAACATCATTTTTTAATAAAAATGATTATTGCAGTTTCTGAGAGCAGCATCCAACAGTCCTAAACACACAGATAATTAAATCAATGCTGGATGAATATTCTTATTAATATTGTGCTATATTGAATCACCTTGACAAGCTCAACCGGACATAAAATAAATAAATAAGTAGACATAAGTAAATAAATAAACTGGATTAACTGATTAAAGCACATATTGGCCTGAAACAGATACGACTGCTGCTAACACACAGTAACATTCTCCCAATGTTAACGTTAATATGCAACTAAAGCGAGAGACATCTGCATAATATCTTTGATATCAGACTGTGAAAAGGGTTTAATGAGGTCTCACCGTGGTCTAAGTGACGAGATGTTCTGCACCTGATGTTCTTTATTATTAAAATAAGTTTGGAGGAGAGTAACTTGTTTACACACTGGGCAGATAAATATGATGTTTATAGAGATAGAAACCACGGGGGGGGGCCCTCGTCACGTGACCCTGTGACGCTGATGGTCAACGTGCATCTGGTGTGACAGATAGACGAGCCGTTGCCTTGGAAACCACTTTTTCAATGGCGGGAGTTTTTTTTCCTCCTTTTTTTTAATTTTGTTTTTGTAAATGGTAAACATGTAGCGGGGGGCGGTGTGGGGGGGGGGCACCGCGCGACAGCTGCGAACCCAAACATAGCCGTGATGTCAAAAGTGACACCTGACGTGCGGCACGTGACAGGGGGGGTGGCGCGCGCCTCTCACCAGCTGTCATACCTGGCATCGAGGTAACCCCCTCCCGGACTGCTTTAAGCATTTAAACAAATTAAACCGGTGGAAGGACTCAGAGCGCGGCGGTGGATTTGTTTTTCCGGAGGGGGGGGGGTAAAGGGGAGGGGGGTAAAGGGGGGGGGGTTTATCGGTAGACACCGAAGCCGATTTAACTGAGGAATCTAACCCGTGACAAGCCCGGGTGAGAGTGTCCGCGGCGTCGGGACGGAGCGAGGCGGGACGTTACCTTCATCCGGGGCGGGGGGCGACGCTCTACGGGGGGGTCCGTGGCGACATGCGGACGCGGCCGTTGAACCCGTTCAGACCCTGAACGCCTCGGAAGCAGAAGGAAGAACAACAAACGCGACTTCCGCTCGTACTCGATGGGCCCGTACGCGCGCGCACACACGCGGGCTCCCTCCGTCGCTCGTGCGATTATTTTTTGTCAAGTTGTGAAAGATTGTGTGTGAGCTTGTATTTATTATGAATGACACAAAACGATGTTCGGGATGCGTATTGTGCTGTGAATGAATCATATTGTGAATATCGTTCTGTTCTGTTCTCTTATAAAGTATTAGAAAATCATTTTATATATTTGAATTAAAAACACTGCGGAATTTGGCTGAGAATATTTTCTATGTATATGTATATCAATTTCTTTACAGTATATGTTACGAAACGAAAGACACACCTGTCCCGACTACACCTGGATAAAAAAACGTCAGTTAATGTAATGTAAATTAAACATATACTAAAATAACAAATTGGTAAATCAAACACATGCAGAATATAAAAGTAAATCATACCCATTATGTACGCTAACTCAAGATATGTTGTGGACTTTTGGCATTTACCAAAAAGCACAAAAACGAAAAGTCACTGTTAAAGGGGGATCTGTTTCTTGCCCCCAGGTGGAACCGTTCCTCGCGCGTCTCTGTTTCCACACGGACCAACGGGGTTCACAGACATGGCCACCTGCGCACGGACTGTGTGGAAAGGTCAGTTATTTTTGTGAAATTGACTGACGTTTAAGTTACAGTTAACTATTAGGTCACGGGTGTTTTAATACGAGTACACAACCGTTGTTATTGTATTGAATTATGTTTTTGTTTTAAGCGCCAAACGGCGGCTGAGCCTGTTAGCTTCCGTTTGCTAGCTACAACACGAGCACATCTCAATCATTTCCACTGTCACCGTCTGTATTTTATAGTTCCACGCATTGACAACCTTACTGGATGTGGGATCGCAATTATCACAATCATTCCATCGTTTCCTCATTCATTGTGTTAATATGGAAGCTTTTCTATCGCATGAAATGAATCGATTTCTTCGAGCGTCCTTGAACCAAAACACGTCGCCGTGGTCGAAGACAAGGATTAAAAATCATCAACATTCTGCTGAATGAAACTATTGCGTAGTGAATCATAGGAGCCCGAATTAAATAGTTAACATGCAATTGCTTCTAAGTGCTAATTGAACCGTCAGAATTAAGCAGATTAAAAGAATTTGACGTGCTCTTTGTGAAAAGATCATTACTGTGGATCAAATAACTAACAACTAAACAAAAGTCCAATACAAGGGACATTACCATCCAATTAAACTTTACACACGTATTCATATGTCCGCTGTTTCTACCTGTCCAACCCAAAAGTTTCTAATTCATTACATTTGTAATCCTGCAGTCGGCGAAACACAAACTGACAACCACACCAGCAACAGGCTTCACACTTTCTCCTGCGGTCATTGACAGACGGAAATATTCAGATTCTCCCAAAGACTCGAGTGCTTTTCAGCTTGAACTTAATAGCATCGCCGATGGCGAGTTAACTGAGCACACGTTTAAGTCTGCAAAGCGCACACGTTGCTGCCAATCAGTGTGGCCCGCTGCCGTCTCCATTAAATGATGCTGACTTTCATCCAACGACAAATGGATCCACTTTCATGCAAACTGCACAAACATTGGATGCAGTCGGCTTCTGTTTGTTGGAGCCGCTGAGATAAACCGCTGCTGAGTTTGACGTGATTTTAAAAATGTATTTAGAATAAATTTGATCCACATCCAACTCTTATTGGTTATTGGTAGTTATTTGAGGAGGCGTACGGCTGCTTTTGTAAAGACATCCTCTGAGGGAATGAAACCGATTCTCTTCTAGTGTGTTGTTATGTTTGTAATGCAGCGCTGGGATGCTCCCTCGGTGGACGCAGTCTGTTGCTCTTCCATCTCTTAGCAGCTTTTGTTCTCTGGTCCAGCTTTAGCGGGATGTCAGAGGCAGCTGCTGAGAGCCGGCGGTCCCGCCCACGCCGGCCGCTCGCGCGCCGCTCCCACGAATCCTCCCGTCAGGACTCTAGCGGCTGTCAAGTGAGTTTGCAGACCTGTAGTCTAGTAAAAAAAAAAGGTGATCCCGGTGACCCGCATGTCTCTCCCCGCTCAGGCCACTGAGGAAGGACAAGAAAGATGACGCAGCGAAGGAGGCGCAGAAGGAAAAGCGCGTCGTCGACGACGCGGGCAGACACAAGCCCTACGGCAGGACGGCGTGGGCGCCTGTGGACGACGTGTACTTCATGAGGTACTACCCCCGCGCGGTCTACGGCGCCGCGGACGCCATCAACATGCTGAAGGGGTTCCAGAAGTTGGACTTCACTCCCGTCAAGCAGCCCGTGTACATCGACCTGAAGCTGGACATGAAACTGGAGAAGAAGGTGCCGTGTTCTGTGTGAACGGAGGTCGTTGCTGCCGAGGGCGTCTTTCATTAGACTCCGGAACCCTGCTTGCGTCTCGTCATCGAACAGCTACGTGGTCCACACCAGTCGTTTATATCTACTACTTTATATTTGAGTACTTCTCTTTGGATGCTCATTGCCTTCCACTGTAGTGTCACTATCATGCTGATTATATTCATATAAAATATGAATTCTTTAATAATTACAAAGTGAGGCCGAGGGAGAACTTCGAAGTCTCGTTCCTTCCTGATTCCTGCCGCTGGTTCTCCTGAACGGTGAACCGTTTGTTATCTACAAATTACTGTGACGTGTAATTATGCATTAATCTCTCATTTTAGCTGCTGCACTATTCTGACTATATGGACTTAATTCCACTTGCCTGGTTTTCTTTTTTCACGCGTTTATATTCGGTTATTCTTCTATCTTAAGAGCACAGTTGAAGGGAGTCTGACATCTGAGATGTTTGTTTTAAACAACTTTAACATTGATTCGGTTTTCGCTCTGAACAAAAAGCTCAGAAAGCTCGGCGCTTGTTTCCACATGAGCGCAGGCGTGTTCCTCTGCATGATGAATGAGGAACACGCCGCACGGCTGAATGATTGAAGCGGTGCCACAAAAGTTTTTATGATTGACGCCCCTCCTGTTTAAACTTGTACTAACCTCCCCCCCCCCTCCCGCACAGAGAAGAGTGGAGTCGTTCGTCAGCACGGTGCACCTCCCCCACCCCTTCAGGACGGAGATGAACAGTGTTCTGGTCTTCACTGAGGTAAAAGCTTCTGATGAGGGGCTTTAATGTGATGAAGGTGTGCAGCCTTTGATCTCTGGAAGCTAACGAGGGGGGGGGGAGTGACACTCTGAACCCCCCCCCTCTCAGGTCAGATCTGAACAGTGTCTCCACGCAGGATGCTGATCAGACTCGAGCTGCGATGGAGGGCGGGGCCGCGTTCGCCGGGGGGGTCGAGCTCATGCAGTCGGTGAGTTCATCGTCTTCTTCTTGGGTTTACTTTATTGTTATTGTAAATATATGAGCGTGTTACAGAGGTAAACAAAGTTAAAACCACTTTAAAGCTTTTCTTTTGTGCATTTAAATGTAAGGCCACCGGTCTCTTATTCGCTCTGCTGCAGCCTCTTTCCTCTTGTCCTTTAATCTCCTTCAGCCAATCACATGACGTGCACAGCCAATCACATGACATGCACAGTGAATCACATGACGTGCACAGCCAATCACATGACATGCACAGCCAATCACATGACGTGCACAGCCAATCACATGACGTGCACAGCCAATCACATGACGTGCACAGCCAATCACATGACGTGCACAGCCAATCACATGACGTGCACAGCCAATCACATGACGTGCACAGCCAATCACATGACGTGCACAGTGAATAACATGACGTGCACAGCCAATCACATGACGTGCACAGTCAATCACATGACTGAAGGATGGTGACGTAATGATTTATGTCGGACCACCACTGGTTTTATAAGAAGTGTTATCAGGCTGAGCTGCTGTTTGACACCTTTGTTTATTAATGAGCTGCGTAAACACGTGAACCATCTGTATCACGCACACGCATGCACACACGCCCCTCGTTGCAGCAGCCTCATCCCGTTCTTGGATTCATCTGCAGATCTTGGATGAGGAGATTTCTGCCGACTACTACGTGGCGGTGCCGGCGATTCTGCCCAAACTCGTCCCGCTGAAGAACAAACTGAGGAAGAAGTTCCCAAAGGGCACGAGAGGTAAAGGCCCTAAAACCATCTGCAGCGCGGTGGGACTCGAGTGAAGAGGTTGTTTAAACGTCTCCTCCCTCACTGTGGACCCTCAGGCTCAGTCAGCGGCGACATTGCCCAGATGTTGGCGTTGTTCCAGAAGGGTCACGAGGTCCTGGTGGAGAACGACTGCTACGTCAGGACGCAGATCGCCACGGTACGCGTGCAGGCCTCAGAGAGGAAGCCTTCAACTGAAGACAAAGACATCTTTATTTAAATGAGCGGAAGTCTCCATCCTGACAGGAAACAGACAGACGTTTGGGCTTATTTGACGTGAAATGCAAATTAAAATCACAAAGATCCTTTTTTTAAATGTAATTTTAGAAATGAACTTTGTGCCAAATGTGTTGATCCTGGTCTCGTCTGCACAGCTGGACATGAACGCAGAGCAGATCCTCAACAACCTGCAGAGAGTCCTCATGGACGTCTGCTCGCACCGACCCGCCAGCATGGGTACGTGCAGCACCACAACACTGCACAACAACAACAACACAACATATATATATATATATATATATATATATATGATGTCTGAAGGCGGGTTTGTGCGGTCATGCTCTACAAAACCGCTCTGTTCAGGTTCATCAGGGTTATAATTCTCTAATATATATAATTAGATATTGTTTGCTGGCTCAGATGTGAAGGAGCTTTAAGTTCATTTATTGGAAGTTTATTTCCAAACCGTTGAGCGGGACGAAGGGCTTTAAATGTTTGAAACGTGACTTGATTTAATCCCTTTTCACTGGAGGATTATTAATGTTAGTTATTAAAGTGGAATACTTCGTGTCGTTTTCACTGACTAGCCTCATTAAATCTTAACGCGCTTCCTCCTCCTCCTCTTCCTCAGGACCGTTCATTGAGCGTGCGATCATCGCCAGTCAAACCAGTGAAGCTCTGTGGTTCAGGAGCCAGGACGTCCTGCCAGAGGACAAATGAAATGTAAATTAACTTTGTAGCTCTTTGTTGAATAAATGTTTGTTCCGAGTTTGGCTCCCGAGTTCTAGTATATGTTGTTTTACAAAAACAAGATCAGGACCAAACATCACGAGTGTGATGATAAATCATTCCTACAAAAAGTAATTTAAAATTCAAACACTTTCCATAATTAAATTACCCTGAAATAAGTTTGTATTTAACTTTACAATCTGAAATCTATTGAACTTCTTATTCAAAAAGTGAAAGTGTTTAACACACTGGAGGATTATCACAGAAGTAGAGTTGGTGCTATTCTATATTTAAGAATAAAGTTTGTTTGTGCAGTGCCTCCATGTGAACAGCAGGGGGCAGAAGTCTGACATCATAGAATGACTGAAGGAATCCTGCAACTTGTTGCAGATTTGATTTCTCTTAAACACATTATTTTATGTTCACGTATGAAGACATTTTATTACCACTTATTTAGCTGATTACTGATAAAAGCTGAAGAAGTTGACCTCTTTTAATCCTGTTTAAAGGTTTGTTTCCTGATCCCAAAAGTGGAAATAAAGATGGAGATGTTGAAGTGACATGTGTGACCCTTGACCCCCTAATAATCAATTCAATTATCATTTCATTATTTTGAGCAAACATTTGCTTGTTTCAGCGGCTTTTGGTGGAAATAACCAGACATTTAAAGACGCCCCAATGGACTCTGGGAAACTGATGGCGTTTTGATTAATTATTTCATAATTAGTTAGGAACAATAATTCACTATTTTTCCACATGAATATATGAATAAATAAATCTTTGTTTGCCCAGAATCTCAGAAATAAGTCCTAATTTCATCATTGCAGAGATACAGAAGAAGAATCTCCTCCTCTGGACACTGATGGACCACAGATCAGTTTTTATGAGGATTACCTGGTGAGAACGAAGTCTAAATGTCCTGGGGTCAAAGGTCACACACATCTGGGGACAGGGTCCTTGTTTCAGACCGAGGACAAAAGGGCCGAGTGGAGATCCGGTTTCTGCCACCTGACACCGAGGAATCTCAGGCCTGCTCCTTTAAACGGGACACGCTCTCACACATCCCATAATATCCCAAACACGCAACCGAAATCATGTTTAATGCCGCTGGGAAGGAAACGCTTAATGTGAGCGTCTGTTCATCATAATGGAGCCATGAAGTGAGACGAGATTTACTATTAAAACACGTGACCTCAAACAGCACAAACACACGATGGAATATTTCAGTGAGTCGATTTGTCCTCACCAGAATTAGTGCATTCAGTAAATATTTAATAAACTGCCTTTAATGTAGATTTATTCGATTTCATGTTTGGAACTGTTGGTCGAAGAAAGAAAGCACCAGATGTTTGTAACTTTATATTACAGAGAGAGAGACATAAAGAGAGAGACATAGAGAGAGAGAGACATAGAGAGAGAGAGACATAGAGAGAGAGAGACATAGAGAGAGAGACATAGAGAGGGAGGGAGAGAGACATAGAGAGAGAGACATAGAGAGAGAGACAGAGAGAGAGAGACATAGAGAGAGAGACAGAGAGAGAGAGAGAGACATAAAGAGGGAGGGAGAGAGACATAGAGAGACATAGGGAGGGAGGGAGGGAGAGAGACATAGGGAGGGAGGGAGGGAGAGACAGAGAGAGAGAGAGACAGAGAGGGAGGGAGAGAGACATAGAGAGAGAGAGCCATAGAGAGGGAGAGAGAGAGACATATACATAGAGAGAGAGACATAGAGAGGGAGGGAGGGAGAGAGACATAGAGAGAGAGAGTCGTGGAGAGAGAGACATAGAGGGGGAGAGACATAGAGAGAGAGAGTCGTGGAGAGAGAGACATAGAGGGGGAGAGAGAGAGACATAGAGAGGGAGACATAGAGAGGGAGGGAGAGAGACATAGAGAGGGAGGGAGAGAGACATAGGGAGGGAGGGAGGGAGCGAGTCACACGGCCGTGCAGCTGGAGGTGCAGAGCGCGCGGAGGACTCTGAAGGACTGCGCGGCGTTCCGGACCCGGTGCGCTCCGTGTCCCCGGTCCTCGGTACCCGGTACCCGGAACCCAGTCCCCCCCCCCTCTCTTCTGCCCCGGGACGTGGAGAAACACGGACCTCGTCGCGCGGTGTTTTTTTTTTCCGCTTATTTTTCTTTCAGTTTGTGCGCGCGGCGGATTTAAAGCCGCCGCGCACTTTTTTTTTTGTGGTTTGTTGTGCGCGACCATGGCACGTGCGTGGTGGATGTTGGCGTGCGCGCTGGCCGGGACCCTCTGCGGACCCTCTCCGGCGCACGGTGGGTGTTTCTGCTTTCTAAACCGAGCCGGTTGTGATGTAGGTCAGGGGTCACCGGGGACCCCCCAGGCAGAGCCCCGGGACAGCCTCACGCCCTCGAGTGCACGTGTCCACTGGGGGTATTTCTTTAAATCTTTAATCCCTGCTCGGGGGAGAAAAGTAGTGCGTGGTGAAGTTTTCCTTTGGGGGGGGGGGGGTCTGAGAAGCATTGGATCCTGAATGTATTCAAACAGCTGACAGTCTCACAGCTGTGAAGTTTTTACAGAGATTTACAGTTTTCAGTGCTAATGTGTGACGTACAGGTGTCACTCTCCTTGAATCTGATCATTTCGGTGCACGCGTTTCACGTACCTCAGACCTTTTAAAAGCACTTTGAATGATTCTCGGTTGGACCTGCAGGTCAATCAGACACCAGAAGGCACAGCAACCTGTTGCAGCCTCTTCCTCAAACATCCACATTACGCGTCTGTGCCTCCTTCCTTCAGTATTAATATTCATAACCCTGCATCGGGTCCCAGAGGTGTGCGTATTCCCACCCAGGAGCCTCCAGATGTTTAGTCACTCCGAGACGAGGAGAGGACCTTCTGCTGCCAGGCGTCTCACCAACATACGAGGGTATTTGGGGTCATAAAGAGGCAGGTCTTCCTCTCTGGGATCTCAGACAGGAAGCCCGCGGCGGTGATTGGCAGGTCGAAAGATGGGAACATTTGAGGTTAAAAGAAACATGAGCGTGCTGCGTTGAATTCATCTCAACACAATCCCTGAAAAACGGATGAAACGACCGTACAAATTGTCACTTGCCAACAACAGTCTTAAACGTGCAAATCAACTCTGAATGGAACAGCTGGTTCTTCTCGGTTAAATCTGCACCTGATGATGAAGAAGAAGAGGAGCACCTCTCGAGGTGAAAGCTTCCTCATCCGAACTTCCCTCCAAAGCTACACTCTGGTTTCAAAATAAGTGCAGGCCGACGTATTTCCTCATTTCTGTGATGTTCTTTGAAGCCTTTTTTATCTTTGGGGGGGGGGGCAACTAACTCTGATTACCACGAGCCCATCGCAAGCCAACGCATCAGAGGAGTCCCTCAAGATCTCCACACTTAACAGGAAACCTTTTACACCTTTTGTGGACAGAAGTAACACACTTCAGGTGTTTTAATTACAAACGGTGTGCTGATTTTTAATTTGTCCTCTGATCACTCGCTCTTAGATCACAGTTGTCTCCATTTCTTCCCCCACGTGACCCACTGAAGGCTCACAGGAGCAGATGCACATAATCCCTGAGATCATGACCGCACTCTAACTCTCTCTCTCTCTCTCTCATCACAGGAGCTTGTGTCTTCGAGGGACGCCTGCATGCGGTAGGTCCCCCCCGTCCCCCCCCCCCCCCCCCGTCTCGTCCCCCCCCGTCCCGTCCCGTCCCGTCGGCTGAGATTTCTCTCACAGAATCAGAAACTCGGCTCCTTCAGCGAGGCCTTTTTGCTCATGTATTATTCACTGGGGACATCGGCGGGTTCAGCCTGACTGACGGTGGCATCCCTGTGTGTGTGTGTGTGTGTGTGTGTGTGTGTGTGTGTGTCATCCGCTGCGTAGATGTGGCCAAGAAGATGTGTGTCTTCTATGATGCAGTAAGGAGCTTTTGTTGCTCTGAGATGTTTCATCCTCTCGTCCCGGCCCCCTTTAATGTTGACTCCCTTTTAATGTCTAATTTCGTGCTTTGGGGCCGGTGGGGGGGGGGGGGGGGTCTCGACCTCCGCCAGACTTTTAACATTTTGTGTTTCCGTGACGCACAGGCGGTTCAGACGGAAATGAACCCTAGAAAAGTAACGTGTCCTTTGCACGACGTCCTCAACGCTGTTTTCACCTCTAAAGAACATCCTCAGCCCCCCCGAGTCGATCCTCCCTCCCCCAAGGAAGGAGACGTGTGTAGAAACAGCTGTTATGTGTGTGTGTGTGTGTGTGTGTGTGTCAGCATAATTACAACAACACATACCTACAACCACCTCCTGTAAACGCATGAGAACACATCCTGCCCCCCCCCCCCCATGTGGTACTTATCTCGGCTGTGAAGGGGGGTAATTGTTAGAGCGAGAAAGAGTGACTGTGTTTTTTTTGGGGGGGGGGGGGGTTGTGGGAAGAGGAAGAAAAATGAGAGGGCAAAGAGACAGGTGGGACGTCCCAGCATGTTGGAACACAGTCGGAGGAAAAAAAAGCCCTTCTGGAGTTCAAAGTGAAGGACCCCCCCCACACACACACCTCCGCCCTCCCCCCGGCACCTGGAGTGGGGGGTAGATAGGAGCGGATGGAAAATAAAGAAGCAGCCAGATTAGAGAGTAACCACAGCAACTGCTGCTTTTGTTTATCGCTTTGATTCATGCGCGAGGAAAAGCACAAAGGTCGTCGGGGTCATTCGAGTCCGCTTAATTAAAGAAGGAGCAACCGTGTGAGTGTGAGCGGGCAGGCGTGTTGAAACAAAGCTCGTAGGCGTCTAAGGGCTGGTTAAACTGTTTTAAGATGTCCGGATATGGTTTTAAGTTTATTCCAAAGTCAGTAATTCACTTCACGTAACTGAGGCTCTTGTGTTTTGTGCATGCAACAAAATATTCACAGATATTCAGACATTCAAAAGTACAAAAAACAAACATAAATAACCAAAGAATACAATGAAATAAATACAGTCAAATCTGACCGGTCCAGTTGAAATGAGCGAGCTGCGCTTTCAGGAAGCTGCTCACTGACCTGCTGCTTCATGTGCAGGTTTACAGTAACCAG